AAAAAAAATAATAATGGTAACACTTTAGATTAGGGAACACACAATCGCTATTAAGAGTTTTCCCTCAATAAACTCTCAACTCCTAATTTGCTGATAATTAATAGCAATGTAGTTTTTAAGTTTATGTATTGGGTTGGGTTAAAGGATCTAGAAAATGGTCATGCAGAATAAGTAATTAATATGTGCCTAATAAGTACTAATAAAAAGCCAATATGCTAGTAACATGCATGCTAATAAACAACTAGTTAATAGTGAGAATTGGTCCGTAAAATAAAGTGTTACCAAAATAATTTATAGCATGATATAAGATTTTGGTCAGACTCCTAGATTACACTATTAATACTCTTTACTTGGCAAGACCTAAATGTATTATAAATGCATTTTGTGACCGTAATGCTTGAGCAAACTGTAAATAGAACCCCAATGCAGATCATTAAATCATCCTGTCAGCAATGCATCATACTGCTGTTAATGGGCATCTAACTTTAAGTGCACCCAATTGTATCCTTAATACACGCTTATTAGACATCTGTCTGCTGGCTTGTTAGTTTAGTGTTTCTTTGCTGCTTGTTTCTGAAGAGTTTGGACACCAGCAGAGCTACTTTGGTGGATTGAATTTACCCACCTCGAGTAAACAGCTTGGGGTTGGATTCATTTAAAGCCTAAGATTTATAGCAGTGATGTCTACCACTCCCCTAAGTGAGTCAGCTACCAATCGAATAATTTTTCAACACTACACAAAGGAGACAATTCTCAGTGTTAACTCACTGTCAAATGTCATCTTCCCTCCAATCTAGAAAAAGTGTAAAAAACAATTTTAAATCAATCATGCATCCAGGAATTTGTATTTATTATGCGTTTTGGATCCCTGTAAGCATTTACATTTAATGTTTTTTGATAAATAACACCTATATATCATGCATAGTCTAAGTGAAATATGGATTTATATTTCCTGTTTGAAATACCATAGGTCTTATATTTTTTGTTTTGATATTCTTGTAGCATACATATTATTATTTGTTGCCATGTGAGTGCAGCAATGTTTTGGATTTGGAGTTTGTTTTTTTTTATCAATATGCCTCTAGAAACGGAATACATAATTAGGTCACAGATATTACTGTGCCATTGGGTCCCTCGTTGATTCAGATAATTTGTGCGAGACAGACATCTGTAAAATTAAGCAAATTAAAGTTTGTAATGTGTTCTGCAATACCTTCTTCCTCACATTTTCACAAAATCTTTTACTATATCAGACTCTTCAGTTACAATCAATGTAGAAATTCAGTGATTAACCACACTTTTTATGCTAATGGATTTATTACAAGTTCACAGCCATGTGTCCAATAAAGACAAAGTTGGTAGGAAGTCACTTTAAAGAAGGCATTATGCAAGCTGCACTTAAAGGTGGGGTAAGCGATTTCTGGTAGCCAATGTTGACATTTGAAATCACCAAAACAAACACGCCCCTACCCCAAAAGGGTCTCGCCCCTATTTTGATAGCTCCGCCCCACACATGCGTACGCAACCCAGGCAACGATTAGTTCTGTGAAACAAAGCAAAACCAATGTTACACCGTGTCTACACCAGTATTGACACACATTTCAAATGATTTTCAACGGTCGCTTTGTTGCGTCCAGTGTACTAGACAGACTTTAGCTGTTGCGGCGCAGACATGGTGTTACTCACCTATCGAGAAGAAACAAGAAACCTCGGTGTCCGATCGCAGGCCTTCCGCTCCTTGAGTTCTCTCAGCGCTGGAAAGCGGATCCAATATTTACACGGGTCCTACTTCTTGCCTTAAGCCTTCTTTTGTTCCGCAGACGTTTTCCTCTTTTGTTTTTTTTTATCAGGCATCTCTATCTTTCTGTCGCTCGGCTAATGTCCGTCATGTGCACTGAACGCTCTCTCCTCCACATCATGAGTGGACACGTCCCGTACTGCTGATTGGCTACAAGTTTGTTTTGCTACTCGGCCCGAATCAGTTTTCTAAAGCGTTTTTGAAAAATCGCTTACCCCACCTTTAATAACTAACTCTTCTTAACTCAGCAGACATTCTGGGATGCAGACCCACTTTCTGTCTTGATTGTTCTTAAAGTTTAAATTACTTGGTCTCATTTCAGCCATTGTTCGTTCTTTTTATTCTTTCAAGCAAGGTCCATTGGCATTATTATAGGCATCGGGCTATTATTTATAATCGTGTTTGGTATACATAAAGATAAGGAAAAAGTTACAGCCAATTGTACAGCCACACACCATTTTTATGTGTGGAGTGCTCATTTATATGAGCATAAATTGTCACATTTCTCACCCATAGTGTATGCCAGGAGCACCATGCCATCTAACTTCACAACATTATAGTCTTGAAGTCTTCATACAAGGTGGTGCTTATTCCAGTGTTCCCAGAGTTGACTAGTTCATCTTATCCAGGCCTATCATATAGTTGCTTCACTCTTTGCTGCATTGAAAAGATTGGAGCGTTCAGCTCTGCTGCTAACAAATTGCGTGTGCTATACTGTAAGGTAGTGTTCACCTTTTCCTTCCTAGTAACAGTGAGCTTCAGGCCTATGACAAATTACCATGTGGCTACCAGAGACAACAGGCCTCGTCTGCATGCTCCTGAGGGATCTTCGTATCTCACAGGGTGACCCAGTTCCATCGTGCTTCTCCTTCACCTTATCTCTCCCTCCTGCCTTTTCCGCTCTTTTCAGTTTTACATTTGCCCCCATGTTCATTTGGGTGTTCATACGGCTACTTCAGCCTCATTGCTGCTTCTGAGCCTTGTTCTTCACCTCTTATTTGGAGACTGTTACCTACGTCAAGTCGATTATCAAGACCCTATAAAGGTTTGCCACCAATAACAAACCATTCATCATCTCCTTTTCCCCTTGCTCACAGTAGAACAAATCATTTCCAGGAAGGAATTACAAGGGGTTTGTGCCACAGACTAGGGCTGTCAAAAAAAAAATCGAATTTAAAATATTCGTCGAATTGAAGAAAAAAAAAATCCACATTCGAATGCAAAAACGTTGCATTCAAATTTAAAGTCTGCGTCAGCCGTCAGGCAGCCTTATCAGTGGCACACGAGATGCAATGATGATGTATGTGTCATTGATTGCATTTGAATGCCTTTGTTAGCCTATCCAGTTGAACCCACTAAATGCGGCGCTGCTACGTTGTTCATTCAATATATTGCGGAAAACGAGAGCATCAGTGTGGAGATGATGTTGTTTACGTCAAAACTGAAACCAAGCCGTTCACACAGAACGCATATTTATCACATTTTCTAGAGGGACATCTATCAGCGTTGCACTCGCGTCTCGCAGAGAGCGGCATGTTTAGAAAGCCATGTAAAATTAATGCAAGTTCAACTTTTAAAAAATGTCTAAAGTCGTTATGGCGGTTTTTCCCCATCCCACTTCGAATTTTGATAATATTTAAGTAAAAAATTCAAATTTAGTTTTTCAGTCATTATGACAGCCCTACCACAGACTGCATAGTTTGTGTTCTTTAAACTCCTCAACAAGCTGATGCAATGCAGTAGTGCCAGGAGTTGCGTTAATATTAATGCCTGCCCATTTCCACCACTGTGGCAGGCAGCCTGTCAGTCTACGCCGCATCTAGAAGGGCTTGCCACTCACAATGCCAGTGACTTGCTGCCAATGATCCATCGCATTCTGGCTAATACAAGAATGCACCAGTGCCAGGCCGTTTTCTATATTGGCTACTATCCTGAGCGGGATGTTTTTGCGGGTGCAGTCTGTCACCATTTCTTGCCCCCGTATGCACCAATTGTTGTAAAACTTAACATACACTCAAAAGAGTTTCATGGGTCTTGCTGCATGTATCGAAACCACGGTTATCTTTGTGTGATCATTTTGAATTTCTTCACTCCATTGACGATCACATTTTTTTAAACTTATGCATCAGTTGATCAGTAGTACATAATTTAAGGGGCATATCCACAAACTCCATGAGCATTGCAGGTGTAAAGATGTAACTGGGCTGTGCGTGTGTGCATGCCGTGTACACTGCAGTACAGCTGCTTTGCTGCACAGCGCTCCAAATGTATACTGCGCTGATGCTTTCTCTCCACACTACCTAAGAAACTAGGGACTGGCTTTGGGTTTACCAGAATCCACCCTGCAGCAAAAAGCAGTACTTCAGAGGCTTCCACAAATCTACCTCATCTCTGAAATTACATTCATCAGTTTCTTTTTTCTTTTCTCTTCATTTAGATGCATCCTCATTTATTTCCACTCATCCCACCAATGATATTTTAACAACCTTAACGCTCAAAGGCAGTTGAGAATACTAACCCTGTGCTGCATGAAGTGATATTTGCTTGATTTGGCATGGCCTGATGAGATTGCTTGGGTATGTCAGTTTTTCCGGGGATTGGATGGGTGGCATGGCCTCTCTATTGGCTGTTCCAAAGGCCCCTTTGACGTCCTTAGGGCTCTACGGTCTTCATTTTATCTGCTTTACATATATTCCCTGTGTTTTACATTCATATGCACTTACTTAAATGTACATTTTGGTCACCTACTCAAGTACTGGACGGATAAATCAGCCAGTATGTGACTAAATGATCAATGTACTCGGTGTACTCAATGTACTGTATCTTTTAGATTTTTTTTGGAGACATTAAGACAGCATTCAACTTTTAAGATCAAATGTTTTTAATAGCCATGCTCACTTGTTTTCATGATGGATCTTTATTGTCACTTGTGTAATTGTGCCTGCTATTTACATCTTAAAGTATCACCAGATACAATTCTCATGCAATATTCTTCCTCATAATAATGTTTTGTCATTGTTCAAGTGCTCTGTTATCCTTTATTGCTCTATTACCTCTTGTTCCCCTCATTTAGTACTCTAGTGTTTATTCTGTTGCTTCCTTGATTCCCAGAGTTCAGTGCCCTTCATGTGACCTTCACAGCCTCACCAAATTTATAAAAGCCTGCTTACTGAAATGTGTATTTTGTATGTTTGTTTTGCAGTGCCATGCGTGTGCTGCTATCCAAATTGCCACGGCCATGGATAGTGGATGAGAAAAAGGATGATGGTTATACCGCGCTTCACCTGGCTGCCCTCAACAACCACGTGGAGGTAGCAGAGCTCCTAGTCCACCAGGTCAGCAGTTCTAACACGCTCTATAGGAAGGCCCCACCCTGTACTCCAGCAGGTTATTCAGTCCACTAGAAGGGTGAAAGCATCAAGCACCCGTGCAGATAATGATTCAGGTGGATAATTGATGCAGTTAATGTCATTAGGGGCCCAGAAGAGCTGAGAAAGTATCCCAGCTCTCATTGTACTAGGCGCATTGTACAGTCACAGTGACTCTTAAGGTAGAGAATATAATATTTTCGTGGATATTTCATGTAGAAATATTTAATGTAGATAACCCTTTAAAAAAAATATTATGTATAACGTTGATAGCAGAGCTTTGCATCATTCAAAATTAAATGAAGAATGCTTTTTGAATGGAAATTTTATTTTGAAGGGAAATTAAATTTTGGATTTTAGGAAGTAGAATGAAAATAATTTCATATAACAGAAATTAGTGTAATTTCCTGGCATTCCACTTCAACTTCCTGTTGGGTGGGGCTAGTTTAATTCAGTGCAAATAGGATGCAATTAGGGGTGGACGATCTGACGATTTTATATTGTGATTGATCTTGAAGATGTCTATGATTTACTTTTCAGGCAAATCGTAGAGATTGTGATCTTTTATGTCCTCATAATAATGTTAAAACTACAGCAGTGCCTGTTAGATGACTATGGCTGGTCTAATTATATCATGCGTCTCTATCATGTGTCTTTCAAACATAAACAATTGGGAAATAAATCTGATGCGTGTCAGTGTATTAGATCCGTGCATTACATCTTAAAGCCTAATGCAAATACCTACTGCTGTCTGTGTCATTGTTAATCAAACAAAAAAAGACAGAGAAAATCACTCGCTGCTCTTGACTGAATCACTTTATAACTTTAAGAATTAATGTATAATTAATTCATACAGTGATTCAGTGTTTTAAAGTTTAACTCAGGCTTTAATGACCATTTTGGTTGTTTAATGCAATACTGTGTTTTAAATAGTTCAAATAGATAAGTCATAGGCTTTGTTCCAGTATGGATATTCTCGATAGTACGCCTCAAAATTGTGAAGATCGTGATTCAAATCGTGGATCGTGATTTTTTTTTTGTCATAAGATCATGATTTGATATTTTGGGAAGACCACCCACCCCTAGATGCAAAACATTGCAAGAATACAGTGGTCTCGAGTTGAACTGTTTCAAACATTCTGCATGTGTGAATTTGGCTTAACTGGTTTAGCGCCTCTCCTTCACACACCACTGTTGCTCAGCGTTATGTCACGGCACTGTAACAACGTTATTACAACATTCCAGCAGCATTATGAGAATGCGGCACTGGCAGTGCAGCCCTTTGTCAACTACCTGCCATGACAGAAGAGAGGAAGAGACAAAGAAAAGGTTCACACCAGCGACTTAAGCCTCAGCCTCCGAACCACAGTAGAGCTGCACTGCAGTAGTGCAGAGAGATGTTGCTATGGGGTTTCAGTCAGGGAATATCTGAATACAAATCACCATTAGCTCCCATTTCCTAACACAACCTATGGGACTAGAAGGCATGCTCATGAGCAGCAATTCATCTTCAGTAGCTGAGGAGCGATATCGACAATGACTTACTGAACCTCAGTGAAAACATTTTTTATTGTGGTATGTGAATAAATACCCAAATAATCACTTTTTTGTGTTCCTTTGTAAGGCACTATATAATGTATCGATATAAGTGTAAATATCACAATGGTTAAAGTTTAAAGCATTTATTTGAGGACAACAGAATGATTTTTTCTTTCTCTGTGTTGCTCTTTCCATAGGGAAATGCCAGTTTGGACATACAGAATGTTAACCAGCAGACGGCACTGCATCTTGCTGTAGAACGCCAGCACACCCAGATAGTGCGAGTAAGTGGTTCTGTCTTCCTCTGTTCTGTTCTGTTCATTTCCATTCAGTGTTTGACATCTACACCCCTCACCCAGGGTTCTGGCTTCCTGCTCAACACAAACGCATTGATGAAGCAATGTAGCTAAGTGCCCCAGCTTAAGATATAAATGCAGGGAGTTCTGCTGCAGATTTATCCCCTCCAATTGAATTCATTTAGTCCTGAGCAATCTGGACTATGCCAGGAGAGGTATGGGGGTGGAATAGGGGACACAATGGAAGCTAAAGTGCCATCTTGTGGTCATATAAGAGCAGTGCAACTTTCCTTATTTCAAAGCATCTGTATTGGCATGGTCTATTAAGAAAGATTCTCAAGTAATAACCAAACAAAACATTCTTATTGTGTCTCACGTTACACCATCTTATTTTTGTCATATGCATACATAATGAAATTTGACACATGCTTTAGATGTCATTGTTAGCTTGTTCATCTGCATCAGTGAACATGAGCATGATTAAATCCACCACTGCTGAGAACACACTGGTTAAATTCAGTCCTCTTTGTTTGTGTCCAGCTCTTGGTGCGAGCTGAGGCAAAGTTAGATGTGCAAGACAAGGATGGAGACACGCCACTGCATGAGGCCCTGCGTCACCACACTCTGTCCCAGCTGCGCCAACTTCAGGACATGCAGGACGTCAGCAAAGTGGAGCCCTGGGAGCCCTCCAAAAACACAGTGTGTACAGAGAAGTATATAAACAGTACAAGTGTTCTCAATAAAAGCTTTAAGTTAACAATATCATGTAGTAAACACTTTCAGTGCAGTGTACTTCATTAGAAGTGGTGGGATCAAATTGCAAATGGTGGATTGATCCACAATTATTATTATTTTTTATTATTAAAAAAAAAAAGCATACAAGACAAAATATTACTTATATAGGGCCCTATGAATTGTTTTATTTTTTCCCCAAATTTTATTTTTCTCCAATTCCGTTTTTTTTTCCATTTGAATTTTTCTGGTTTTCCGTTTTAATGGTTAAATTAAATTTCAGTGATCTCTCAGGCATGTCTAATTAATTGAAATAATGAAACTTATACAATTTAACAACAATTTATTAAAAGTTTGCAACATTTTTTCATTCCATGTTATACTGTTAATTCCATTTTTATGATTTGATGCCACGATTCTCTCCACATTTTTCACATCACAGAAATCATAGGACCCTACAGATACATTTTGTTGTCATACTCTGTGCATCTCTGCAGTTGTAGAATCCTAAAGAAAACATCCAACCACCGTTCCATGCAATGAACATTATCATTTTATGAAACATGATTTACTCAGAGATGCAAGTGTGATCAGGAGCATTAACCATATTCCAAACCACCTTTTCAATTGAACTTGATTGCGATTTCCTGAATTTGCAAAATTGCTTTCACACCACTCAAACAACTGAACTTTTACGTCAAACAATGACACAGATCCCACAAAAAGAGCTCTAAGTAATAAGTAGTAAAACATAGGGCTGGGTAAAAATATCGATATATCGATTTTAATCGATTCTCATTTTTACGAAACGATATCGATTCTTAAATCCCAAGAATCGATTAGTCTAGCCTGTTTTCAGTTAATGAACGGAACGTTGAAGGGCACCTCCCATCCAATAAATCGCAATAAGCATTGTGCGGTGGTACTTTTAATATGAAACAAAGTCTCAGATTTCAATTTATGTCCATTGTATTGCAGTATTCAAACAATAAATGCCGTTTATGCACTGTTTAATGTACAGTGACAGATCGCTGCTCTAGCGCCTCGATCAACAGAGATCAAAAGCGCGAGGCGCACGTGAACTGATCATCTCCTCCACATTAATACCAGTTTCAGCACAAAATAATCATGACTTAAACATCCGAAGGTAAGTTAAAAGAAAGAGTACAACTTTACAAGTTGTATCCTGTCTCATGTAATCGCTCAATCAGTGTTTCAGCCGCGCAAAGACGTCAATATAACTGCTTGTAAACAATGTCACGTAACGTCACATTTACCTCAGAAAAAACATATTCCGTGATCATAAACTCGTTAGTCAGCCAGAAAAATAAACTGTAGAGAGGAGCATTTAGCTAAATATACGCACCATATAACATTCATTATAATTTTTTCTGTTTAATGTTTTATGTTTGAATAATCAATCCAAGTTTTTATGACAGCCACTATTTAAATGTTTATATTTCCAAAAAACTAACTGAAGTAATTGTAACCTAATTATAAAAACTTCATTAAGTGCAATTTAAGCAGTTGTACAGCACAAATCAGTCAATTTTAACCTTCAGTATTATAATGTAGTACCAACTGACTCTCATGTATATTTTATAGTATTAGTTTTTAAGAGATTTTTTTCCTTGAGAAAATTTGGCATGTACTGTACCTGATATGTATCCAGAATAATCGATATTGAAATCGAAATTTGAGTCAAAACCCAACCCTAGTAAAACACTGAGGCAGTTTAAATACTCTGCAACTGTAAGGGCTTTTCTCAGGCTTTTCCCTGTGTTAACAATGATAGATTGTGCTTTGCTATAAGAGCCATTTTTCTGCTGTCACATGAGTAACCGGCCAAATGAGCCACAGTTCCTCTGCAGTCCAGCGTCCTGTATACTACACAATCCTTCAGGTGAGACATTCTCCCCTGATTATCCCTTCGCTTTTCTTGGGATTGCATATATTTGTGGAAAATTGAGTGGGAAGAGAGAAAGTAGAAAGAAGACAGCTTTGGCAGACATAAGTCTAATCAAGACATTTACTATATTAATCTCGCGTAGCCAGACCTTCAGACTGATGGCAGAAGGTCTTGGAGCCTTAGCCGCTTTGAATGGCCAAGGACTGCCCAAGAGGCCATATGACTGACAGGTAAAGCAACCAATCATGGTTTGTTTTGTGCCGCGTCATGTTTAGGGGCATGGCCCTACAATAACAGACCAGTGTGTAAAACTCCACGAACTTTACATACTTCACATACTTTTGAAAATCCAGCGTTTAGTTGATCCTGATAAGCGCTCATTGTCACAGTTGTAAACACGACGGCTTTCTTCTTCCATGAAGGGTTTGGCATCACAGCATCTTTGTTTCCAGGCGGAACCTTAAAGAACGTGACACGCACGTCTCCCAGAAATCCTGTATAATTCAACCAATCCAATGATGAGTTTGAAACTCCTGAAGTTTTTCCAATTTTGTGTGCCATATGCATCAGATATTCGGCCAACGGTCTGTGGCCGTGGCGTCTGAGGCTGAGACTATTACTATATGCTCACTCTTCATAATTCATTGGCACAATGATGGCAGTCAAATTACCAAGCCAATGAACTCTATCAGAGCAGATTTAAAATGCAACGAATACCATGTTCTCAGGTAAATGATCCCAAATGTGACACAGTATAGAGAGTGAACACTTCATACAGAACATCAGCGAGCGAAGCTAGTCATGATGTGGCTAAATTTGATGTGATCAGTCTCACACCATCAACCACCAGCTTCTTATAGCTTTTCAACTCATATAAATTTAAATGTAATAGTTTACTGTCTGTAGATTTTAGCCCATAAAGGGGCAATTCATCAGGAAATGTAAATTATCATTTACTTGCTACTCATTTCACTAGAACACAAAATGTACCAGTTGCACTTCTCATTCAGTTACAATAAAATGTGACCTGAAGTTTTCAAAAAAAAATAAAAATAAAAGCATTATATGGCCAGTAGTTTAAAAGTAGTCTTTATGATTCACTCATATTCCAGGTCTTCTGAAGCCATACTAAGTTTTGTATTAACTTACTTAGTACTTAAAAACAGGGTACAGCTAATGGACTACATCAGAACAACAGATCTGCAGGTTTTTCTCTGCGCTGCTGCTGTTATACTTGAATTCTTCCATCAGTGCCATCATTTCTTAGGTGTCCCGCAGCACTTATGACCCCCCATCCCCACAGCCTTATCTTCATTAACACATTATGCTGTCAATACACTCTGGATCAACTGTCAGAAAATCTCACCATAACGTCTGACACCAGACAGACTGACGATGCCGGTCCCATGCACCCTATCTTTTACAGCCTTTGTAGCTCCTCTTACGCCTGACCCCAGCCCTGCCAGTTCACATCACCGCCTCTCCACGACTGTCGTAAATCAAGCGTTGTGTGACAGGAGGCTACTTCCAGGCCAGCAGTCAGCCATTTATTAACACAAACAGTGTGACAAATCTCTCTCTCTATCAAGCCATCACACTTACCACATGCAGCAGAGTCAGGCAATCCATTTAAAACACTCCACTGAATTAATCAGTATGCCGAGATCTACCCACTTTTATTAGCTCAATATGGTCTATATTTATCATTCCAGATTAATCTACAACATTACATCATGGACATGTATGGCCTTTTGTGTTTCTTTACACAGAAGTCAATTACTGATTATTTTAGTGATATTTATTAAGACAAGCATCACTGTTAATGTTGCTTATATTGCTTAAGAGTGATTTCAGTTAAATGATTTGACTTTTTTTTTTTTACCTGGTGAATTATAAAATGGGCATCCACATCCCATATCCTTGCACTACCGACCCAAGCAATTTCTAAAGAGCTAGAGACTTGACACTCTTGATTTGGCCAGTAAGCAGCATTCAGAACACCATCAAAAACTGTAACTAATATACTGTTAGTACATCTATATCTGCTCTTTGGAATTTTGTGGGTAAAATCCAGTCATTTCAATACAAATTTGTGCTATCGGGAGTTTCATATGAAGGCTAAAAAGTTCCCTGTGCAGATTTTGTTTGTGTTCAAGTTGGTCACTCAAATTCTCAGTGCTGACCAACAGAAAGCTACTTTGTTTGAAAGTGATTTATGCATGAACAGTGCTTCATACATCACTACATTATTCAGTTCTTCTAAACCCATAAGACTTTCATTTATCTTTGACACAAATTAAGATACACAAAGATGCCTGTTCATGGGAACCAATAAGGTTTGTCCTTTTGTGTCTCACAAACAACCAAATAGATTTGTTCTTGCACGTAAAGCAAGAATAACCATATTTGATGAGCTCTATGTATGTGCATTGATCAGTGTTTTTGTGTGAATAAAGGCCTAAATTAAATCCGTTCATCATATAAAGCAATCAAAAAGTAGTTTGACCAATAACGAGCAGACATTGTACATAGTCGACCAATTGTGGCACGTGAGAAGGTGGGATCTACAGAGAATGGTCAAAGCGATGCAAATATGCGTACATATTATGTGTGTTGTGTTCGACTTGAAGCAGCGCTGCGCAGACAGATCGAGATTCAAGTCGAAAGCAAGTATGAAAACAGAAAAACAAAGCCAAAACCAGGATATTTTAGGCAATATAGAAATCCTGGCAAGGACGTGTCCAGGAAAAAGAGCACATATGGTCACCCTAACTGTGTCTAACTTTTTTAAGCATCAACATTTTGGTTGCATTTAAATTTTAAATAAAATTAAAGGAAATTGTCTGGGTGCATTACAGTATTGACAGTTTTGGGGTTAAAATGCACTTGTCATGCATGTCACAATGCAAAAATAAAACTAAAAATAGGCTTTTCCGGTATGCAAAATATAATATTTTGTTTTTTTCCTATTGGTTTTAAAGTGAAAATATGACCTGGATAAGGCTTTACAAATTTGAGATACACCTTTACCTAAGTGTTCGATTTTTTTTGTTTGTTTTTTTTTAATCGAAGGTCATTTTTAAAAACCTCTTATAAAAGTATGAAAACAGAAAAACGAAGCCAAAACCTGGATATTTTAGGCAATATAGAAATCCTGGCAAGGACGTGTCCAGGAAAAAGAGCACATATGGTCACCCTAACTGTGTCTTTAACTTTAAGCATCAACATTTTGGTTGCATAGGCTTTCAATGGAGGGACATTAAAAATATTTTCATTCAGTGATGAAATGAAAACGGTGTCTGTTATAAAGAAGAAATGTTACGCTTTCATTAGAAACACTAGCTCTATATAATTAGGTTAGTTTGTATTCTCCTAGGAATTAGAAATAGATATTCAGAAAATATAATTATGATTCATCAGAAAAAAAAATTTTTTTTTTTTTTTTTATAGACTCTGAACTGTTCTCATTTTAATTGCATAGTGTAATGAATTAAACTTTAACATGGCTAATTGTGACTTTAATAGATAATCTATATTAATCTGCTGTATTTGACTCTGTTTGTGGTGAATCTTCGCAGTTAATTATGGGACTGGGCACTCAGGGGGCTGAGAAGAAGAGCGCAGCCTCTATTGCTTGCTTCCTGGCGGCCAATGGATCTGACCTCACCATCCGTAACAAGAAGGGCCAGTCTCCTCTCGACCTGTGCCCTGACCCAAGCCTCTGCAAGGCCCTAGCTAAATGCCACAAAGAGAAGACTAGGTATCTGCCCAACCAGTAGGGGATATATTGAAGCTTGCACTACGGATATTTGAAATTGACTTCATGATGCGTTTCCTGCTATTCATTAATTATTAATTTTGCTATTCATCCTTTAATCCATTTGCACTTTATATCTCTGTATATCTCAATTGATGTTTTTATTCTCTCGCTCTCTTCCTCTCTTGTCCTCAGTGGGCAGGTTGGCTCCCGTAGTCCGTCTGTAAACAGTAATAATGAGACTCTTGAGGAATGCATGGTGTGCTCGGATATGAAAAGGGACACGCTTTTTGGCCCCTGCGGTCATATCGCTACCTGCTCTCTCTGCTCGCCTCGCGTCAAGAAGTGTCTCATTTGCAAGGAACAGGTCCAGTCCAGAACCAAGGTACAGAAACCCACCTCACTAGTTTCTTTCTTTTGTGCATGCATATATTCTCACGTGCCATAGTGAACGCTTCTCTTTTTTCACTCACAGATTGAGGAGTGTGTGGTTTGCTCTGATAAAAAGGCAGCTGTGCTTTTCCAACCCTGTGGTCACATGTGCGCCTGTGAGAGTAAGTCAGCTTGCTTTCTTCTCCCACACCACACCTCTTCTCTCATCACCCCATGTGACTCTCTCATCCAGACAAAAAAGCTCATTCTGTCATCTAGCTTGTCAGAATATCATACATCACATGACTGTCTGTTAATCTAGCCACTGTGCTAAATAAAAACCTTGGATTGTTTTGGTTATTTTCTATGAGTTTGTGGATATGCTCAGAAGCTCAGAAATGATTGAAGCACATTACAGTGATGAAAATGTCTTAGAGGTTAGGTTGAAGCTAAGTGAATTGTTTGCTCTCAGCTAACATCCCTCCTACCAGATCCCGAGTTTCATTCTCTCTAAATATATTTATCACTTGTCAGCAAGAGCCTCCTTTTCAGTTTGGTTTTATTGCCATTTTTCTGCCTTAAACTCAAACTGCAACCTCCTGTTCTATGGGTATTGACTTTATTATCTGACTATTTAACAAGCTAACTTAACCCTTTAAAGCCTGGCATATGAAATAATAGTCAGAAAAAAAACGTATTTTGAAATAGAACTGGTAATTGAACCATTTGCTTTGAAATATTTTTTTTTTAAGTTTGCATATGCGTATTTATTGAGTATCATATTGATACATTGATCATATTGAGGCTTTCATGACTTGTATAGTATAATATAGCAGATTATGGAGTTCATACTTGAGGAAAAAAATACCTAAAAATAACGTGGAATTCTGATAGCTTGTAAATCAATTAGATCTAGCCGACTACTTGCATAAACTGAATAGAAAATAGTTGTCACTCTGTATCTCCCAATAATATATCTTAGTAAGATATATTATTGGGAGATATAAAAACGTAAATTGTTTCATCCTGAAATATTGTTAACAAAATAAAAGTTATTCTTGCGTTTACTAAAAATCTGTAAAAGTTTCCCAGCAAAAAGAGGCATACAGACCTGAAGGTGAACCGTTTTAGAGTTATAGGTAAAAAGCCTTTTACTTTCTACAAAAGTATGAACTATCAATCAGCTGACAGAGAAAGCATGTAGTAGATTGTGTACACAAGGTTTTTCAAAGTTTTGATCATGTTAATCATTTGGAGGCTTTCGAAATTTGTCAAATTTAAAATAGGAGACTTAAGCCTCGTACACACCGGGACGATTATCACGCGCTTATCGCCAACGTCTTTCGACGCATCTTTTGTGTTCATACCCAAGCGATTTTCGCTGGCGATGAGCCAAGTGAACGTGCAAATTCACTCCCTGACATTAGATGGCACTTAATGAAAAACAGAAATACCCCAGTACAAATCGAATCCTATTTGATCTGCAATTCCTCTCCATAACAACTCGCTCTTATCGAGTTTTTTGTAGTCGCTGTTGCGTTTGTCATAAAGGCCTTTGTGTTCAGACACCAGTGAGACCAGCAGCTCTACATTCATCTTGCCTCGATGCATCTTCTTGGTCTACTTACTTACTCTTCGTCGTTAGGTGTCAATGTGTGCTTGGCAAGACCGTTTTGTTCTTGAGCGCCACCAAGTCGTATTTTACTGTAACTTCAGCAGCTCCAGGCACGTGAACAAAAGCGCCAATCTCATTGGTCGGCCAGTTTTTAACGCGGCACGTCAAACCAAAAAAACGAGCCCGAAAAAAAATTATGCTTTTACGCCTCGCGTTTTGCGCGTCGGTGTGCAAACTCACATTGGCGCCCTTTGTTTAGTCACTAGGCGTTAAACGTCGGCGATAATCGCGCGCGATATTCGTCCCAGTGTGAACAAGCCTTAACGCTGTACTTTGTGTGTGTTTGCATTTGTGTGTATTCCTGCAGACTGTGCCAGCCTGATGAAAAAGTGTGTACAGTGTCGGGCCGTGGTGGAGCACCGCACTCCCTTCGTTTTGTGCTGTGGAGGGAAAGGTATGGAGGATGCCACTGATGATGAGGACCTTAGTGAGTGAACTTCCACACGTTCCCGTTTTTAATTTCTCTTTCCTCTCTCTGCCTTGGTTCTCATGTCTCTCATGTTTAATATTTATGTTGGCTTTGGTTGGTGCTTCTCTGTTTCTATTGCCCACACACATTTTTCTCCCCATTGTTATGACTAATCTGTTATTTCCCAAATGTGTTTTCATGACTCAAATCAGACATGTAGCCCCTCCTCTTAATGCATAATATCAACACCCTGGAATGAGCTTTGTAACTGCTCTGGAATGTCTTCGTAACATGCGCTACAAGTTATAAGGATTTTTAGGAAGAGTGAAAATGAACCCCCAAATTAATTTTTCAGAGAACACAGCATATTTCTATAATTGGACACGTCAAAGGGGCTATCCAAGATTTATTTTAGTCCCATCTTATTTTGAGTTGTGATTCACCACTATTCGTTACAACATCGTTCCTTTTGTATGTGATCATGACACTGCCCATGTTCTTTATGTTGGTTTAGTTTGAGTTCAAAGGGATACTGGTGTAAGTTCACTTTTTTACAGTGTTTATTTATAGAGAGGAGGATCTGTTTCTTTTTAGCCTCGCTTAGATGTCCAACACATCCATCCACACTGACATCTCTGCTGACCTACAGACATGCTGATCCACACAAACACACACACACACTCGCACACAGTCCAGTCAACAGAGGAATGTAGCCTTTAGCTCTTATCTTGGTCTGTCTTTAGTGCCTGAGCTCTGTTTGTTGTAAGGCGCCACTTTTCCACACACACAAAACCAAAGCAGCATCCCGTATAGACCTAACACACTCCCCCCTTTTCTCCATGTAGACGGAGCAATGAGAGAGAAATGCCACCATAGATGGGATTCTCTTCTGCTTCAGTCACTTTAAAGATTAGAGCACTTTAGTCCCCACATGTAAGAGGCTCCTCACTCTAAAAGAGGACTTGATAAACTGGCATCTGAAGGCTGTGGCCAATCGCGTGGGCATAGAACTTTAATTTCCACTAAAGAGAACTTGAATATGAACACAGGAAACATCCACTAATGATGCTGTCGGACAGATTCTACATCATTTTTGGAAAATAAGATTTGGGGACTGTTAAATGACCTTGTGGAAATGATCCAGTCTTGCTAGCCGACCCCTGAAGCCAAGAAATGTCTCTCACTATGCCGCCATCAATTTCCCCTTTAGTGAGTATCCATAAAATTTTTTCCCAACTTGTCGGGCTTAAAATTAACCAGGCTGTCGTCTTATTTCACACTAATCCATCATAAATATCTCCATGTCAGGCTTCTCAACACTTACGGCCTCTAAAACCTTTTCTGTAAATGTGTTTTGTTTTGTTTTTTTTCCCACTGAATGAAAACCATAAAATTAGGGATGCACGATTTATTGATACTATATTGCTTATTGGCTGTTTTTGCTAATGTTTAAATTTCAAAATTGGATATATATTGGGTGCTATTGTAATTGGGGGCTTATTAATATCGTCCAGAATGTTCACATCAGTGCATCCCTACTTAAAATCTTTCTTTTATAATAGTGACTGTCGTCACTTCCACAGGAGGATAGTCCTGCAGCCTTAAAGGATCTCCCTTCCACAACAACTGTGTCAAAAACTTACGTTAACTTGCTCTTCCCTTTGCTTCCTCTAATGAATATTTAGAACTAGAATATGCCACAGGCCAGGCTGGATTGGCCCCCGAGCCAACAGCAGGGGTGCATGCATTACATAACACTGTGACTGGTTGCTTCTCAGCAGGGGACTCTAACTCAATGGCAGGGGGGTCGCAGGATCTTCTCCAGCCCAACAATCTGGCACTAAGTTGGTGTAAGTATTCTATTCCTCACCCCAAGTTCTTCCTGCCTCAACTCCTTCCTGCTCCTTTGGGCTCAAAGTCCATATCTCCACCTCAGCATACGTCATTCTCTCTGGCCTGCACTACACGAATAGGAGCGGCTGTCAAGCGGGACCATAGGCCTGCTTGCGGCCTGCTGCGATTCAGTGCTGTGGGTTGATCCCGCACCAGGGTGCCCCTTATAAGCCATGTAAAGTGTCAGAACAGGCGCGAAACTTCTAGAATCATCAAGTCATTCCTTGTTAGATAAGTTAGAAGGCTCTGGGATCTGCAAATGCCGAGGCCCAGAGATCAACTTTCACCAACTGCATGATTGACCTATTTGAACTGGTGATACTTTTCTCAGTGGTTTCTGCTTTGCCTTTCAGCCAGCGGAAATATCCCAGCCTTGCAGAGGGACAAAGACAACACTAATGTCAATGCAGATGTACAGAAGTTACAACAGCAACTGCAGGATATTAAAGAGCAGGTAAGCATCGCAGCTTACATTAGGGGGGTGTAATAATTCACTCGTTTTCTCCATGCTTCGGTTACAAATCCTGGCCATGCATATGTGCATTGCAGTGTTAATTTTGACTGCAAATTTTGATTTAGTCTTATTCATAGTCTTCTGACTAAAATGGCATTTAGTTTGTCATATTTTAGTCATCTGAATTGTTTGTTTTAGTCGACTAAATATCATAAGATTTTAGCCGAATAAATCTGTAGATTTAGTAGACTAAAATCTAATAGGTTTATTTACAGTGTAATGCATTTGTTAAGCATTTCTCCAAAATTTCCAAACTCATTATATAGGTTGATATTATGGTTTTATCATGATAGACAGATTTAACTGCTGTGACGCACACCATGCCTTTTGTATTTAAATTATATAAAACCACTTCTCATAAAGAAACAAGAACATGGTCCTGCTTTCAATGAAATACCAATGGTTATATAATAGGGCTGGGACAATAAATCGATGGATCGATTCTGAGATTTTCGGAATGCATCGTGATTCTCTCTCGAATCGATTCTGAGCTTAGTTTTTAAAAGCAGATGGCGCTCTAGGCTAGTTTTTAACTGCACACTCAAATGCTCACGAAGAAGAGCGCTTGTGCGTTCGGCTGAGTAATGTAAGTGGTCTAAAAAATGCTGGGTTAAATATAACCCAGCGCTGGGTTAAAAAGGGACAAACCCAGCAGTTGGGTTGTTTTGACCCAGTGGTTGGGTTACTACCCAGAAGGTTGGGTTAAACATTTAACCCACACGCTGGGTCAAAACAACCCAATTGCTGGGTTTGTTCCTATTTTACCCAGCACTGGGTTGTATTTAACCCAGCATTTTTTAGAGTGCAGAATCATTTCTCTCTTCGCGATGCATTGATTTATTTATCCCAGCCCTATTATATAATATGCGTTCTTTCAACTTGCTTACCACATTCTTTCAAGCAGATATTAGGGCTACTAAAGTGATTCAGTCAAGAGCAGTGAGTAAGTTTCTGTCTTTCTTTTGTTTGCTTGATTAACATTAATGACAGACAACGGCAACTAAATTAGGCTGCTGTCCCTTTAAAACCGAATGCACTGATGCAATGTACTGATACATATCCGATATTTTCCCAACTGTTTACCTTCACTTAAGCATAACCGAGTGTGTTTACGTGAATACTCGTCAAAACGGACAATTCGGTATCATTTTGTGGGTATTTCTCTATTCATGCGACGTGAAAGAGATCTGAATTCAGTACTCGTGCGCTGTGTGAGGCGCTTTTCTCTGTGCTTGCGCTCAGAAAACCGAACTGAATTGAGTTTGCTTTTGCGTCGTCATGCTTTTCAAATTTATCCACATGAATGCTCTTCTCTTACTCCCACATATTGACCTTTTTGAACGTTTTATGAGACGTGCAGTAAGTGTATTCTAGCTTATGTCCCACCGGAGAGATCGATAGGCTGTTACAGTTCAAATGTATGCCTAGCCATGCGTGAGATATGACGGGATCTCTTCCCAAATCATCCCTGCCTAATATTTTTGTCTCGTTTTTATTCGTTGACGAAAATATCAATAGATTTTTATCAAGGTTTTTGTCATTCAAAACAAGTTTTATTTCATTATCGCCTCGTTTTCGTCGGTGAGAAAAATGTCGTTGACGAAAATTATGACAAAAATTATTTGTCAACGAAATTAACACTGGTGAATTGATGTTAAAACATGGATTTTTGATTGAATTGCTTTTTTGGTCAATAATCGATATAAAATGCTAAAGATCGAATGAATCGCAATTCTGTAATGTATTATTTATTATTTAAAAATATATGAACATTACATTAGTTACATGCAAAAAAAAAAAGAAAGGAGACGAGTGCCGTGTCATTCGCACAACACAGAATTATGTCATAATGCCTGTCTTTACAAGTATTCATGTTAACGTTGCTTATGCAGGGCTCCAGACTGTAACCAAATGGTCGCATTTTGTCTGCTGGTGCGAGTAATGTTTGTGAGCGGTCGCACTGGCACGACCACCACGTTGTTCAACTCATAAGCGCTAGAAATGGTAAATCTAACTGTAACCATGGTGTCGTGGTAGAAATAGTCGAATACATTGCATCATTCATTGCAGGGTTTGTACAACCTTTTGAGAGAGAATTTCAAGCGCTTTTCAATGACTTTCAAGCATTTCACACAACTATTTCCAGCACTTTAAATCTCTAAAATGATCCAGTTTGAATGTTATTTTTAATGGGATGACCAAAATATATATTATAGACTTGTGTAAAATTTTAAAAATACATCAAATCACAATTATAACCAGTAGACAGCAGCAGAGGAGCACTTGTTGGCTTATTAGTAGGGCTGTGCGATATTGAAGAAAAATGCGATACGATATTGCTTAAAGTGTGTAAAATCAATTTCAATTATATTTTAAA